GCCATTTGGCCACACAGCCCAAAAAACCCACAAAATACAAGACATTTCTTATCAACATTTGAACCTGTTATACATGATTGGGAAAATGTGATGATTTCTTAAGCAGAATAACAAATCTATCTCACATCTCTTTTGCACTACACAGTTATAGCACAGTTATATCCTTGATACACACTCCCTTGAATCCACATCTACTGTATATACTCATGTATAAGTCTAGATATTTTAGTCAAATAATCAACCCAAGAACCTAGACAATTTATTAAAAAAGGATCCATCCCCTTCTCTGAGTAGAATGGCAAAAAGGCAAGAGTTTAGTCTGTCCTGAGAGAACCTAAAAGAGGCACCGATCCCCTCTACTTTTTCCTCCATGATGCCATTTCTGGTCTGTTTCAATGCCTAGGTGGGAAAATGGTGGTGGTGGCAGCTCTTTGACACTTGTCCTCAAAGGAGTACTGAAAGTGTAGAGTGTAGTACATCTTTTACATATGAAGCCATGCTTGCTTTCCTTGGGCACATGCCATCAGTGCCCTCACCAGCTTTTGGAATTCTGAGAAGAAAAGAGGGAGCTTTTTAGGCCTTGGAAAAGCTGAGAAGAGCATTTTAGAGGAGGAATCTCCCCCTTCATAGGAAAACTACCAAGTCAGAGCACCACCCCTGGGACATACTTATGTTCACAGGCATTTCTCTTCCACCTTTGGAGTGGGAGGATGGGTGTTTTCAAAAAATAGAACTTGGCTCTTGTTCCCAGACTCATCTTTCCGGGGGGGGGGGGGGGGAAAGGAAGGCGTCTTTCCTCCCTATTCCCACATGTGAGCATGATCTGCCCACGGATGCCTTGTCAAGTGTGATTGGGTACTTTCCCACTTGTTTGGTAGAGACAGGTTTTCTGCCTCTGCTTGATGTGGATTTTGATTGTGTGCCATAAATTACTTTGGGATTTCAGGTGACGTCTCCAAAAACAAGAGCAAGAGATGGGCGTGGGAAGAGACACTTTCTCTCTCTCTCTCTCTCTCTCTCTCTCTGAAGGCACAGTTCACACCCTGTGCCCTTTCTAAGGGTTGCATGGGCACACTATGTGCGTACTTCAAAACTTATGAAACTTATCTTGGACTGAGTAAGGCCTCTGGTCCAGCCAGATCAGTAAAACACAGGAGCAGGCAAAACCTCTCTGATGTTTTCAGCTACCAATATACCAATCTTTGCAGAAGCTTAGCAGGTGTGTGGGTGTTTGTGTGCCTTGAGTTCACCTTTCAACAAAGCAAAGCAAAGCAGCTTATTTATATACCGCTTCATATCACGCTATGGGATGTCTAAGCGGTTTACAACTGTGAGCTGATTGCCCCCCAACAGTTGGGTACTCATTTTAGCAACCTCGGAAGGATACAGGCCTGAGTCGAGCCTTAGCCCTGGCTGGTATTGAACTCACAACCTTGTGGTCTATGAGTGAGTGGCTGCAGTACAGGCATTTAACCACTGCGCCACCAGGGCTCATGGAGAGCCCATGAATTTCAAAGGGTTTTCTTTGGCAAAGAATACTCAGAGGTGTTTTTGCAAGATCCTTCCTCTGAAATATAACCTACAGCACCTGGTACTCATTGGACTCCCATCCAAGCATTAACCAATGCAATTTCCGACTTTGGAGGTTTTTAAACAGAGGTTGGATGGCCATCTGTTGGGAATACTTTGATTGTGTCATCCTACATGGCAAAATGGGATTGGACTGGGTGGTCCTTGTGGTTTCTTCCAACTCTAGGATTCTAGGTAGACTTGGGAAAGAATCCTGCCTGAAACTTTGGAGTACCATTCTTGCCAATCTGAGTGGACAATATTAGGTGGCAGAGCTGGTGTAGTGGTTTGAGTGTTGGACTGTGATTCTGGAGACTAGGATTCGATTCCCAACTCATTCATGAAACTCATTCGGTGACCTTGGGCAAGTCACATACTCCCAGCCTCAGGGGAAGGCAAAGGCAAACCCCCTCTGAAAAATCTTGTCTGGAAAACCCTTTGATAGGGTCACCATACCTCAGAAGTGATTTGAAGGCACAGAACAGCCACATCCACAGCAATTGATGGATGAGATGGATGTTTTGGCCCCATTTGGTAACAGACCAAGTTTGATGGCTCCGTGATTAAGTGTGCAGTTTTTAAAAAGTAGATAAATAGATAAACATAGGTGATGCAACATATAGCATAGATGATGCAACTTTTACAGGTGAAACACACCATATTTGTAGCATCTGAAGAAAGCTGGAGCAGGTAGCGTATGCCAGGGATACCTGCAGGCAGAAACTGTTTAGCTGAACAGCATGCTCCAGATGGCTTCAGTCTCTTGTCAGGAAATCTGGATGGAAGTTCATAGAAGAGCATCTGCTATACCCAGAGAGGCTGCTGAGGAGTAAAAGTGATGCTGTTTATATACTTAGAACACATCTGTACTGAAAGTAACTTGGACATTCATTTCCTTTACCCTTGGGAACCTGAGATTTCTCATTAAGCTATCGCTTAACAGAAAATTTTGAACATTCTCTGTTGTTGTGTGCCCTTCAAGTTGCTTCTGACTTATGGTGACCCTAAAGCAAACTTGCCATGGGTTTTTCTTGGCAATATTTGTTCAAGGAGGTTTGACACTCTCTTCCTTTGAGGCTGAGAGAGTGTGACTCTCCCAAAGTCAACCAGTGGGTTTCCACAGCCAAGTGGAAATTCAAACCCTGGTTTCCCAGAGTCTTAGTCCAATACTCAAACCACTACTTCATGCAGTCTCACTAACAGTAATTTCCTAGATTTGGAAGTGGGGAAACAGTAAAAAATGGTATAAAAGTAATATGAGGTTATAGTGTTGCTATGCCCTTAACAAATGAGTGGGAAAGCATTTTGTCTGTTGAGGGCTGGCTTGATTCTTTCCTTCCTTCCTTCCTGTGCCGCTCTACTAGTGTCCTACCAAGACATTCACCTCTACTGAATCCTTACCAACAGTTTATATTGGCATAAACAATTACCTTGTTTCATAAACTTTGAACATGGATTTAACTCTTAAAGGCAGCAGAGTGGAGTGTGGTGGCCATTCTGAGACTTGTAGTCCAAAAAGCAACTTTTCTGAGCTCAGGTCTCAACCGGTTGTAATCCAAACTCAAGCCATAATCCAAAAAGTAATTAGTCTTAACTACTCACTTGCAGAGAGCTTTTGAAATCACACAGAGGTCTGTAGGTTGTTCAGCCTTGTGTTTTATCCACAGGATCATGAACTTCACAACATGCATGCAAACATGCATGTACACACACAATGCAAACTCACCACAAGATGCTGAGAAGCTATGGGAAATATGTGAACTCTCTCTTTCTGAGTTCTCCCACAATTAGTTGCATATCAGAAATTGTCGCTGTCTGTATAACTCAAGGAAAATTTCCCTTGAGAATATTGCTATGGGAAATGATGTAGTGGGACCTACTCAGATCCTCACACACACTAATTCTCCTCTATGTTTCATTCTTGTTTTATTTCCTCTCCCTTCTCCCGATCCCGTAGATTTTAAAACCACATTAAAAGTTTATAAAAGTGGACTAACTGTGAGAACAAAGCCTTCAGTGCATTGTTTGGGTGCTGGTGAGGTGTGCTCTCTTTTTTTGTTTAATATCTTTCCAACATTGTACGGTCAAAGAGGCAAAGTGAAGGAGTGAATGAAAAAAAAATTATTAAGAGAGATAGCATCAGAATTTCATGAAAAACTGGAACTGGGCTAGAGGAGAGTAATTGTACCCACGACAGGCCTTTTAAAATGCCTCTTCATCATGTATCACTTCAGATGAAAGGATTGACTACAAAGCACAGCTAACAATTACACCTAATTACAGGTGTAGCAATAAACCATTTGGCTGCATTGGGACTGATTCGCAAGGCAACACTTTGATATGTCGGTCTTTGTTTCTTCTGTCTACCAGAGTGTGTAAGTCACACTCTCTCAGCCTCAAAGGATAACAATTCTTAAGAAACTTGCCAAGAAAACCCTTTTGTCATGGGTGGCTGAGCTAATGACACCTTTGCTTTCTGATGGTTCACTATACCCAAACTTTGTTTCATACACAAAATTATTTAAAATATTATACAAAATCATATTGAGGCAATGCATATAAGGTGTATGTGAAACATAAATGAATTTTGTGTTTGGACTTGGGCTCCATCTCCACAATATCTCATTATGTACATATATGCACACACAAGGTTTTTTTTAATGTGAAGTCATAGGCTTTCATGGCTGGCATCCATAGGTTTTTGTGGGTTTTTCGGGCTGTGTGGCCATGTTCTAGAAGAGTTTCTTTCTGACGTTTCGCCAGCATCTGTGGCTGGCATCTTCAGAGAAAGCCAGCCATAGATGCTGGTGAAACGTCAGAAAGAAACTCTTCTAGAACATGGCCACACAGCCCAAAAAACCCACAAAAACCTAAGTTTTTTAAAAATCCAAATAAATAAATTCCAAAATCCAGCACACTTCTGGTCCCAAGCATTTCGCATAAGGGATACTTAACTTGTATTCAATTTACATTAACCAATTTAAAGTTAAAAGTGATTTTATTGTGTACTGTGATCCTGAGATCCTTGGATATAGGGCAGGATAGAAATATTTAATAAATAAATATCTCTTCCTTTATTCACTCACCCCAGTGCTTATTTGCTTGCATGAGTTAATTAAAGCAAACAAGTCATACTAATTATTGGGGCCATAACAAATAAGGTAGGTTTAGGAGGCATAAAATGAGAGAAATGGCTCATAGAGCCATTAAAACTGCTCACTTTTCTTCACCCCACTCCTTCAGTCAGGGACCTTTGAAGAAAAAGTAAAATAGAATTTGTTGTTGTGTGCCTTCAAGTCGTTTTCAATTTAGGGCAATTCTAAGGCTATCATGGGGTTTTCTTGGCAGGATTTGTTCAGAGGAGGTTTGTCATTGCCCTCCCCTAAGGTTGAGAGTATGTGACTTATCCAAGGTTACCTAGTGGGTCTCGTGGCCAAGCAAAGAATCGAACCCTGGTCTCCTGAGTCCTAGTCCACAGTCAAACCACTACACTATGCTGGCTAACAGGGAAGAAAGCATGCAGCCTTTCCCAGCCTCTTGCAGATGTATTCAACCATGGGCAGCATCCTTGTAGTGACATGTACATGTGTAAGTATGCCTTATGTACACCAATGTCTATTTTTGGGTGATGCATCACCCTAGCCTTTCATGCATCATCCAAAACTTTCCCTTCCACTGGTAGCTTCCAAGCCCCAAGAGGGTTTGATTTTGCTGCCTACTTTTAGGGTCAGGAGCTATGGAGAGGAGGCTGGTCTGAGCTCCAAGCAGAAGGAAAAGGAGGTTGCACTACATCTCTGAGTGCACCCTTGCTTCTTCCCTCCTTGAAGCCAAGACATGCTGCTTGTTCGTTGTCAGAACTGCCTTCCTCTCCACTGGTAAGCAGCAACAACTTTCTGGGACTTGACAACTTCCAGGGCAGAAGAAAGACATGGAACTGTGCAGATGGAGCATTATGCTTGCTGTAGGATCTCAGCCTATGATTTCCATCATTTCTAAGTTGTTGTGGGCTTTTTGACATTCCTGCCCTTTTTGTCCATCACATCTGATGGCAAGAACTTGTGTTTGGATGTGTTAGGGCAGGGGTAGACAATCTAAGGCCCCGGGGGGGGGGGGCGGATGCGGCCCCCCGAGGCCTTTGGACCTGCCCCAGGTCGGTCCGGCCGCCGCCGCCATGAGAATATTGATTATTGTTGTTATTACTTATTCTTGAGGTTTTCTTGGCAAA